TTAAAAAATGACACCTAAATGCCGAAAAACAACTAACAGTTTCAAACTCACCAAAACTCACGACGGACGGGACTCGAACGGACGGAGACGGTAGCAGCCTGACGGCGGGCTGGCAGGACTAGCGGTGGTGGTGCAGGCGGCACAGCAGCGAAGGACGAGCGATTGGGATTTGGGCTAGAGTCGAATTGGATAATTGGCGAAGATAAAGGTCTTCAATTTGGGAATGAATTTCAATTTAAAGGGCCATTGGGCTTTTATATATTATATAATTTTGGATTGGGCCCAGAACAAATGGCCCAATTAAAAAAAAAGATTTATGAGCTGGCCAGGTTGGCCAAATTGGCCCAATTTCACCCAAAACTCAAAGAAAAAAAAAAAGGGAAAGAAGAAGATACAAAACAGAGAAGACGAACCAGCACCAGCAGGAACCACCGAACCAGGAACCTGCCGGCGGTCCAGCGGATCCCAGCACGCGCAGCCGCGCCCCCTTGTCGGGTGTTGGGTTCGTCCCTGATTATAATGTGAGAAATAAGAATGGAAGTTGCAAAAATATATATTTCAATTCTTGACTTTTCAAATTATTAAAATTATATTTAAATTGATTGATCATTTACATATAAAATAATATGTTCAGCCTAGGTTGGCAGAGATTAAATTTAATTTTTTAGTAAATTTTAATAAAAATTAATAAAATATATGATTGAAAATTTGTGGATCTCATAAAATATGTGATTAAAATGACTTCTTCACTTAAATTTACCAAAAATATAGATTTTAATATGTACAAAACAGGGCTAAATAAAAGACAAGGAGACATAAATAAAAATTTTTNTCTTCACTTAAATTTACCAAAAATCTAGATTTTAATATGTACCAAACAGGGCTAAATAAAAGACAAGGAGACATTAATAAATATTTTTTGAAACAAATAATATTAAAAACCAAAATATAAAGCGACGTGTGTTTCAAGGATTGGATTGTTCTTCTATTGAAGGATACGTGAACTGAGTTGAGAATGTAGTGAAATAAACAACACCTTTCAAATGAGGAAAAAAAAGGTGCTTAGGACCTGTTTGAAATGATTTTTACTTTTATTTTTGCTTCTTGTAGAAGAATTTTTAGAGGAATCTATCTTAGTTTTTGTTTGAAAACTAATTGTTAAAAGAACTTTTCATTTTGAAAATGTTTTTAAAGAAAGCCACGTTAGAAATGCTTATGCTAAACACTTTTTGACTAAAAGAAACATTTTTGTAAAATTAATCTAAGAGCAATGTTGTTGATCATCACGATGATGAAATATCGACGATACGACAGTTTATATGAAATAATGTAATTTGATAGTTTAATTTTTATAAGAAAGAGGGAGATTAGAGAAAAAGAGAAACGCGACGAATAATGAGTTGCAATATTATCGATATTTCTTTATCGTCGTGATCCAATAACAATTTATGGGTCCCACAAATTCGTTCTAACTTTTCAAAATCCCCTTCGTTGGCTAGAAAAAAAAAAATCCTAATCCTTCCTAACAATATAAAAGAGTGAGTTTGTTTTACAGGTGTCAAATTCTCATGTCGCCAACCAAAAACGACATCGTTTAACATTTCCCCATTTGTTTTCATCCATATTCCCTAGATTTGTTTCATTCTTAGGAAGATCGTGGAGGCGTTATTCTTCGACGGCGACTTGTGGTGGAGAGTTCCAAGCTCCAAATTAGGTTTACCTTCACTCCTTCCCAAAACTCTCAGAT